AGAGGTTGCCCAATTCATAACAGCAGCAAAATTATAGTTATGAAGTAGTAATGAAAATAATTTTATGGTTGGGGGGTCACCACAACATGAGGAACAGTATGAAAGGGTCGCGGCATGAGGAAGGTTGAGAACCACTGGCCTAGTGCAAGAGAAGAAAAACAGCGTGAAGGCATTTCTAATTTACAATAATAAGCCAATGGAACTACCATATTTAGTTCTTAATAATTATTAGTCTCCAATGAAACTTTAAAGTTACTGAATTTTCCTCACTTTATTAACTCAAAAGTAGCTCTAGTTTGTCAGTTTGTTCTTTGTCACTGTCCCCCACCCCACCCCCATCTCCTGCAGATGTACAGTAATTGTTTTTGTTTATGTATATATGCCTGGTTTTTATTGTAAATATGTCACTGTAGGAATTAGACACGCATATCATGGCCTTTTAAATATTGTAATAAAGGCAATTGAATATTTGCCTTTAGTTTACTGGTTAAAAGTTTGTTTACAGGATTTTTCTGTGGTGCTTAAGGGATGTTATAAAAACGTTGGAAATTGCCATGGGTGAAAATGTCATTTAGGAAAATACTTTTTATTTTGCAACAATAAGAACTAATTACAAATTCGCCCCTACTAAATAAGAATTTTATAAAAACAGACATTATTCTTTGTTTTGCTCCTGTGCTTGATAAAAAAATGTAAGTAGAGAAGATCTCTGATTTCTTAGGATAATGTACTGTTTGTAGCCCTAAATTAAGTCATGTATCTTCTAATCATGACTTAAGAACTCCTTAAATAATTAGAATGAGATTTCAGAGAAATACAACAATTTTTTTTCAGCCAGAGCTATGCATATTTTAGATTGAGGAATATCTTTTGAATATCTCAACCCTTAACATATCATTTATAAAATATTAACAATGAAAGCTTGGAAAGAGTATATACATGATGACAAGAACTGGGAAAATCTCAAATTAAAATTCAGTAAAGCTCACAATTTCATTTTGTGACTTCATTTTTAGAAGGGATTAAGATGATTAGGACATGGAGAAGTTTTCCAACCATAGTAAAGGTCTTATGTGTTTTCAGATCAATTTTTAAGATGTAATCGAATTTAACAGTAATATATAACTTATTTTTATTTGAAAAAGTTTTTGATGGTAAAGATTTCAAATGTTAAAGTCAAGTTAATGTCATAAGCATTGAGTCAAATTATATTACTGTATCCAGCCATCCATATATAGCAGTTACTTTTCTTCCATGATCAAATCTGAAGTTGAATGTAGTGCTAGAGAACTGTTCTCTGTGACTTCCTGTGACCCGATTTTATTTTACGTTAGTTTCTTTGATATAAGAGCCATGAAAATGAAAT